ACTTTCCCCCTCCTCTCGCTCATCGCCACGTCAGCAGCCTCAGCTCCCTCTTCTCTCTCCCCCCCCTCCCTCTCCTCTCCTTCCCCCTTCTTCCCAAAAGTCCGTCCTGGATCCGCCTATGGCAATTATAGGTATTTTTTGAAAGTATTTCAAAAAGATTTGACAACGTTTTGAATGCGCGGGTCACGTTCCAAAATATACCAAGTACACTTCGAAATCCTAAAGTCTCGCCAAGTGGATTTGCCCAGAGATCCGTTAGGCTGATAACAGCTCCAGGAAAGCTAACTGAACGTCAGGATGGCCAGTATGCTATCAGGCAGCATAGCGTTAGTTCGCCATATCAACTGGAGAAGTTGCAAGCTATGCAGTTGGTGAACCAAACTACAAACTCTGTAATTGATCAAAACAGCAAAGTACGTAGGCTAAAAACAGGAAAGCCAATGACTAGTTTCTGTAAATTGCTAGAAAATCCCATAAAAATCAAAAAAAACTTACTTCCTTCTCGAATTGCTATCAGTTGCTCATCGATCTGCGATTTTGCCAGCAACGAGTATAGAATGTTCAAAACGGGATAGATATTCCACGCCTAAAAATGTCACTAATTTAAATTTTTATCGCTCGAAAGACCACGTGAATTGCTTTGGAAAATGCTAAACAGTAAATTCTCAGTGTATCGTTTTTTTATGAATTATGAGTTTAGCTCAGTTAAATTGATAATGGGAAGAAAAACAGAAGCTAACCGATTGGTTTTGTTCAATTGATACCAGATCTTCGTACTCCTCAGGTGTTCTTTTGGCCGGATTTGCTTTGTAGAGACAGAAAGCTTGAAACTGAAAAAAAAATCGCTCTCCACCGACAAGAAATTTCTCTAAATTCGCGCATCAAAAAAATAAAAAATACATAAAAACAAAAAAAAACAATTAATTAAATGATACCTGATAAACAAATTCATCAATGATATCCCAGAGCCAATTATTTGGTAGCTGAAGTGAAAGTGGCCGTTCTTCTGATGTCAAAATCTCCGAGAAAAGTTCCTGGAACAAGCGCATTTACAAGACAGCAAATGGGATCCAAAATCCTTCAAAAAAGACTTACTGCCGTGACTATTGAACTCCTTTTATAAAGGTTATGGAGCGAAAATTATAGAAGCAATGTATGGCAGAAAGAGGAGATGGGCTGGTCATTTGACATGGATGACAGATAACAGATGGACGAAGTGGATAATGGAATGGTATCCACGTACGGTCACGCGAACACTGGAGAGGCTCCCGGTGAGGTGGAGGGACCCCATGGTACGCCTGTACGGTACTACGTGGTCTCGAAGAGCTCAACAACGAGAAGAATGGAGAAGTTGCCAGTGCTGCATCGATGGCGTGACAACAACGGACGTCGATGACACACAGCTACTCAAGTATTTAAGTAAATATGGGGCTGAAGGATGCTGACCTCCATAACAAAACTATCTCTGGATCCTTCGAATCGAGAGCCTGTGAGCTACACATCCAGGAACCGATAATTTCATATCTGCTTAAACAGCAGTCAAAATGCCTCGCTGCTATCATCACCGGTGTACACTTTTTATGCGTTTTGTGCTGCGCGAAAGTTGCACAAACGCATATTTTCACGGGGTTGTGTGCGTGTATGTTTCTGTATGTGTATGTATGTGTGTGTATGTGTGTGTGTGTGTGTGTGTGTGTGTGTGTGCGTGTGTGTGTATGTGTGTCCGATGCGTCCTGTCTGCAACTTTCAACCCGGAAACCACAAAAGTTAGGAAGTTGAAAATTTAGTAGAATGTCCTCCATCTACGTGTGACCCCACAAATTTAAATTCAGTCTTCCTGTGTCCACCGGTAGCCATCCTAAGGAGGCAAACGTTTGCTGGATGGAACTGCGCAAAACGCATGATCGCATCGGCTGCTCTGGTGCGCGTTGCTATTTATCGTCATTTTGTGGACGCTCAACATTTATTCAACAAAAGTGGCAAAACTAGCACGGGAATGCATGTAAGCATGTTCAGCACTGTTCTGTTGCTGTTCTGGGTAGATGTTCAGTTCATAATCGAAAGAAGCAAGTTATGTCTTAGAAGAATGCTGCTCGGTACCTGATAATTTTGATATGAATCATAGCGATGGGTCAATGACGGGCCACGTTGCATGCGACTGTATACGTGACGGAAGTACAGCTCCTTGTAAAGAATGATGAAAACTCGATTATCTAAAAAAAAAAAGAAAAACAACAAAAACAATACTTTTACAGTTGAAGCACTCAAAAAAAAGGAAAAAAATGCTTAACTGCGCCGGAGAAAAACCCGAAATGGTAATAAAACTTTATGGTTTAGCAGCAGTGGCAGCCCCCTCCACCCTGCCAAAAAAAAAAACTAAATCTTTGCCATTTGCTTCTATCGAGGAAACTGTTGAAATATTCATTTCTTCAGAAGACGAAATGAAAATAAAGATCATCACAAGCATGAATGGAAATAAGGATCATCATAATATTATTATTGTTATTATTGCTATTATTACCGAACAAACTGGAAATGATCCAAATGTGCGGTATATTTTAAATAACAACTAAACTCAATATGCGAAGTACAGCTTCACTAACCTGAGCCAACGACATTTTCTACGGCTTCTTCGCTCGGCCAAAGACGCTGCTGGAAATAACGCTCGGTGAGATCGGTGAAGCCGTGCTCGTACAGATTGTGTATTTCAGCCACATTTTCATCATCAATCATTCGCTTGAAATAGATCAAATACTGTGCCACATCTTCTGGCACCACTTCATCGCCCAGCGTATCTTCAAAGAACAATATCGGGAATTCGACTGTCTAATTAAAACAGAACAGATAGGTGGCCCTTGCCGGTGTTGACTGTCTCTGATTTCTGCCCAGTACTCTGAATGTAAAAGTGAAGAAATTCAACCAACCGCGGGTAAACGGCGGGAGTAACTAATGACTCTCTTAAGGTAGCCAAATGAAAAAAAAAAGCCAGCAATCGATACAAGATTTTCTTCCACCTTCTTCTCCTTAGCTGCGCCTCTTGACATTTCCACTCCCCAAGGGATACAATGCCTTGAAGTAATTCGAACGCTAGTTTTCAGTAAGTACTATAGTAAGGTTCTCGATGGTGATCTTTTCTAAGTTTTTGCGCAGGAAAAGCAAACTGAAATGCTACTATGATTCGCCAACATCAAAAGCATGTCAGATTTAATTTACAAAAAAAAATCTAAAAAAAAAAAACAAATTTTAAATTTTCTTCCCAATTTTTCAAAAAAATCCTCCCAGTGAATAATTTAAACCTATTATTTTGAAGCTAACTTTAAACCAGTGAGGGCCAAAATCCATTCCACAGGGTTCAAATCCTGCATTAGACTCTTAGAAAACTATGTGCCACTTGCCACTTCGTGAGAAGATCGGTGATTTTAAACAAAGTCATTGGAATTTTCCAAGTTCAGATCAAGTGTGCTGTTAACGGAACGTAATGAAATTTCCCACGAACAAAACGCGCCCGAGTTAAACAGAATTCTCCAAAAAAATTCTTCAATTTTTCAAAAAAAATGAG